ACCACAACGTGTACACACACACGACCACAATTTTTAATAAACCAACTCCTCATTGATGCACCCACTAAGCGAGAGCTGGGATATGTGTAGGATGGAGTTTCATTCATGTTGCTTGACCAGCAAGGTGCAGCCAGACCAGACAAGTGCTGAATCCTGCCTGTCCTTGCCTTGCTGGAGCATTAATTTGATATCCTACCTTGACTCCATCATCATCTTTTATTAGATCAGTTAGATCTTAATTATCTGCTTAAAGACTACTACCTTTCTTCCATCTTTGACTGACAAGGCCAACCAAAAAGTTGTTAAGAGGGAGCTTCGGTAGGAAACCACTCTAAATATCAACCCGAAATATGATGATAAAGTTGTTGGTTGTTATACTGTTGGCCACATTGGCCCAACTTTTTGCAGCTTATTGACCTGCTGGGAACAACTATCAGTGTTTTGCTTGGCCTATGCTGGAGTAATTATTTCAGTTTAACCATTATCCCTTTACTGTAAAATGAAAAGTCTCTGTATGATCTTTTTAGAACTTCATAGGGTAGCAGTTGAATAGAATCAAAAAAGTAAAAACATGAATATACTATAGTAAGCAAATAAAAATTAATTACAAAGGATATTAAAAATACTATATAGAAACATTATATAGTACCAATAATGTTATCAGGAATAGTGTGGTGGGAACTGTTAAACAATGGGTTGTTGGGGTTTTTTGCCTACACAGTCAAAAAAACCTTAGTATTCCTTAGAAATTTTATTACTATACTTTTTTTTTTTTCCCCTACAGCTCAGTTTGGATAACTAAACTGATCCCTATAAATCTGTACTACCGAATTAAATCTGCTGTATTTTGTATAACTACTCTGTGTTTACTGATACCATTGCTTTCTCTGACCTTCCCCCTTTCCCTTCTCCATCTTATGCTAGGGAAGGAAGGTTTTGGATAAATTGCATGAGCTACAGATAGATTTTACAGTCTTGAAAGGACTTATAGGTGCAGAGAGTTTAGCATCAAGATGTCAAATTGTTAATAAAGCTGCAGAAATTTTTCTTAAAACTGGAAGTTTGGATGGAGCGACGTGGGTATTGAGAGGTAAGCTTGTCTTATTAAAAATGAGTTTTGACTTAAATTTGACTAGTCCCCTTCTATGAGAGATTTCAGATAAAAGTTACAAGCTGGTCTGTGTTATTAAATAAAGTTAATAATACTGGGACAACAAAAATAAAGTGTGATCTATCTTACTGCTTCGTACTCTTCTTGATATGTATAAGAAATATTATGGCAAATAACCAAATTTTTTTTCAGAACAGTTTTTACAGTAGTCTGCCATCAACCCTGTTCTACTCAAAAGCCTACCATAATGAGGGAGGGGCGCAGCTTGGAAAGTGACCCTGCCCCATGGAGATTTCCTTTAAGCCAGGTGACATTCAGTGTCAAAAAATTTTCAGGCTTGGGTCAATGCAGTGTTTCTTTACCCTTCACAGTATCCACGTTAGTAAAATAGCTCTAGAATAATACCATATTTCTGCAATAATGTATAATTACTGGCTTTTTGGAATTCTGATCTGCGGAAAAGAAGAGAAGAAATGCAGAAGTATAAACAAGAATAGAAGGTGTTCTATGAAGTAATGTTGAGGATCTAAAACTTGCTGTTCAGTTCTACATATGTACACAGATGTATATTTATATCCACATATACACACGCCACAGACATTCCATTTTACTACCATGATATTTAACAAAAGGGATTATTTACAATATAAAGGTTCAGAGAATCCATCTGAGAAGCACTGATGATAAGGAATGAATTAATAACTAGAACTGCATTTTCTGTCAAATTCTGAAATGTGTTTTCTGCTACAGTTTAGAGTATATTCTTAATGGACAAAAGTCTCAGCCTCCAGCAGTTTCTGTTCATAGAAATAACACTGCACTGTTGTTTGTCACAGAATCAGAGTGGACCACAGATGCACCATTGTGGCCCTGTGATAAAATGGACATCTTCAGTCGACATAATCTGTTATGTACGTTAGTGCACAAATACTTGAGGAAGAGTTTATACAGGCAGGCACTTGAAGTTCTGCAGAACTTACCAGGTTTTCAAAATCATTCTGGTAAGTAAACAAAAAGGTACTGTGTTAAGAGCTAAAAATTTAACAGATAATTCTGTACTGGTTTTTTTGTTTGTTTTCTGGCTAAAATTTCTTGAATAATTAAGATGGTTTCAGACAAGCCCATTTATTTTTTCCAGAGTATATAATGTCAGTTAAAATATGTGTTGTACTCTGCAACACGTGTCTCGCACATACACACACAATTAATTTTATCTTAACTTGAGATGAATCCATTGTGTTTTCTGCAGTTGAGCTAGCTACCCTCAGCTTCTTTTACATACCATGTTAAGAACTGAGTGCTCTTTTGGGCTGAATTTACAGTCAAATTCTGGATGTGTACTTCAAAGTGAGATGCCCAGTTACTGAGGCTCCACTGAGGAAACCTGAGCTGATTCCTGTGCGTAGGTCTCAGTCCCATTGCCAGTGTAGGCTTTTAGGTATGGTAGGAAAGCTTAGTTGGAAGACTGCCTACTTCAAGAATCCTAAAAGGATCTAGTCCTTTGAGTCATGAGGTGGACACAAGGCTGCTCAGTCCTGCCAAGAAGGGGACAGTTGAGAGGAAGTAGACAGTTCAGAGTAAGAGTAGAAGCAGAACTTGAAGCACCAAGGTGATTTTTACTGGTGCAGATTTTAAGTCTGAGAGATCAGGTGAAGACTCTATTCATAGGCTTGGGCAAATTAATATATTTTTATCCGATCCTGTTAGTTTTAGCAGCAAATTATTACCTGGACCTTAACACTTCTCTTTCACAATGTGAATGAACTAACTGTATGAGAAGACTTTTCATTAAGAAAGGGTTACAAGTTACCTAAACCTTGTTCCATTTTGCTGATAAAGCAGGAGTCCTGGTTTAGGTACAAATTGAGAACCGATTCTTCGATTTGCATTTGACTTAATTCAGTAGTTGCTATTCTTCATTTCATTTCAGATACTGTGGATGTTTCCCAGTACAGCTGCCTTTTTAACAAGCTGATAAATGCCTGTTTTGAGAGCAAGAACCTTGGGGTCTCATCTTCTGCAGTAGACTTCATGCTTTCAAAAAACATGGCTATTGATTTTCTTTTACTTAGAGGATTAATCACAGCTTTAGGAAGAAGTTCTTTGTGGTCTAAAGCTAGGACCTATTACAAAAGTAAGTTACTTCTTAAACAGTATCCTTCCCTTATGTTGTTTGGGTAACATACAGTCATAACAGCTCAAGATGTTGGGGAGAAAGGGGTAAGAGTATATTTTGTAAGAAGAAAACAATAATTTCTGTGTTACTATCAGGAATTTATTTGTAACCAAAATGTTTATTGGGGAATACTGACAGTTGAAAATATGAGTCAGTGCATACTACCTGGCATGAAATAAATGTAATGCTGATAAAATTATTTTTTCACGTTCCATTTCAGAATTTTAAAAATGTGAACCCTGAAATGCTTTAAAAGGGCATCATCTTCACTTTTTATCTAGGCAAATTATATTTCTTTATATTTCCGTGTAGAGTTGTGGTGGTATAATTATTAATATTTAAGATTTGAGAGGTCTGGCTAAGATTATCTTAACTAAAAGAAAATTACTTTCAACTAAAAGCTAACAGTCTGTGATTGTTTTCAACTCCCCACTCTGAGCTAAGATAATACTGGGTGTGCCACTCTGATGGGGTTTACCAAGAGCCAGCTCTCCATATTGTCACATTATTTACTGCTTGATTCCATCTTAGAATTGTGGCATTAGCAAGCTATGCAAGGAGTCCATCCTGGGATGGACACCTGCTTTTGTTAACATTGAAATGATTGGTTTTCCTCACCTCTTTTTTTTTTTTAATGCTGTATAGGTTGGGTCTCTGGGATCACTTGGCAGAGGACAGGGGGAGCACAGGGGGAGATACTGTTCAAAAGTCCTCTCACTGTGATCATAGTTAATAAAGCTTCTGTCTGACCTGTACAAAATTGTACTTGCATTATTATGCACTTGGAGTCCCTGGGTTTCTGACAGAGCTTTTTAATCATCACTGATGATAATCGTTGATAAAAATAACATTACAACACTGAATATTGTGAGTGAATACTACTTACTATGTTCTCAAATTGGGCCATTTCACAGGTGAAACAGTAAAATCCTTGAAGAGTTTGATGGTATTCTTTTCCCCATTCTTACACGCATACCAAAGAAAACAGATCTGTGTTCAGTATTGGTTATCCTAATTCCTTACGTTTCTGCATTTACTCTCAGGTGCTTTATCATTGGGTTGCTACCCACCACTGCAAGGAAATTTATATCACAAACTTTTGATGATTCCGTGTTACCTGTCTGAGGTGGAGATGCTGTTGGCCATTGAAATATTTCTTGTTTCAAATTGCAGTGATATTCAAAGTCCAATGGCTACTAGTCAGACACTTCAAATAATACTTAAAAGGTTTGTTGTCAGATGTTTACCATTTTGGTTGTATTTATCTGTGTGACCATGTAATTAATGAGAAATCTTATTTTCCATTGGCTGAGAAAAAGAATGCTTGGTTTTAAACTTAGTTTTAATCCTCGTTTCTGAATTGGTTATAGAACAGTAAATGTTTGAGGTTTTATTATTGTTATTATTTTTACCTGCGCCTAGCAGAAAAGTAATTGTTCCAGAGTGATAGAGTGATATCGGCCTGTGTTCCCTAACTAAATATGTCTGCCACACTGAGGGTACTGTATTTTCAACGACAGGACAGCTTGGTATCTCAGTGTAGAGATTCTTGTGTTGTGGTTAAGCAGTGGAGTAGAAAGACACACTCCAAATGTTACTGCTTTCAAAAAGCAACTTTAACATTTCTTGTCTGGTTTTTTGGAAAGTGCATGAAGCCATTTTACTTGATTCTCTTTACAAGAGATATCTCAATATTAAATTAGTTAGATTTCATCCCCCACACCCCTTTCAGTGAGACTTAATACCTTCAGATAAAAATGTGTGTTGTTGCTTTTTCCTTTTGTCCATAAATCACCAACCACTGTCATTAGATTATACCTATAATTTATTTTTCAAGACCAGTCTCTTGAGATTGACTGTCTCAGCATCAAAATATAAAACTGCATAGAACAGATCCATTTGTTAAGAAGGATGAACAGGGGCATTTCAAACTTGAGTACCCTGTCTTCTTTCCCCTCTACTCTTCCGAAGGTATATATCTCTCACTTTTGTTCTTTTGATAAATGAGAAGGTTTTTATCTCTTGCTTTCATGTGTATACTATTGTACCTCTCCTTGTTTGCTTAAAGAGTAAATTCTGCTCTTGCAAAAACGTAGGCATGATACTTAGGCACATCCTTATTGCAGAAGTGATTACATGCCAAAAATTAGTAATCCTTTTGGATTCAAGCATCAACATGAATTCTTGCTATATCCAGTTCATAAAATGGTTTACATTCCTTTACTGAATTTTCCAGCCCAGAGTCAAGCATTTCTTCATTAAACATGCTGTGAATACTGCAGACCTACTGTGCAGTGGCATTAAATCCTATTAATTTTCATTAGTATAAAATATGTTAAAAAGATAACATTTTCTAACTTTTTAATTCTTCAGAATAATCAGCTAAGATTTTAAGAAATTCAGATTTTTAAAGATTTTTAGATTAAGAATTTAAGATTTTTAAGAAATTAACATAATCTGTTGTAAATTAAGTGAACAAAAGTCTTATTTTAATGTTTTTGTAATCTTGTTGCCAGTATAAAGCATCAGGCAAGTGAGACAGGACCAGTATGGTACATAACTTTGTATTTGTGAAAATTCACTTACAGATGTGAAGATCAGACAGTTCAGAATAACAGTGACTATCAAGCTGCAGTGGGGAGACTGATCCTGGCTGCTCGTGTATCTGATCCAAGGCTTTTTCTTAAGTATATGACAATGAACGTTAATATGGAAGAAGTTTACAGCTTGGAGCTTACATCTGCTCTAAAATGGCTTCAGGAGAATATGAAATGGGCTGGGAAGGTCTGGCTGTTTCAGTAGTCATTAAATAGTAAAGACTCTCTTGGGTTTTAATGGTTAAAGCAATCATTGTTGAAAATAATACAAATTAATAAAGGCAGTTCCCACTCTGTTCAGACTGTGCCTTACTGATTTACAGCAAGGCTTCAAACTGTTGTGTTTTAAAATGCTTATGCAGATAGTAGCACAAAGAGTAATTTTTTTCCTAACTATATATTGTCACACAGGCTTACATAGATGTTTTGTAGTGTTAGTAGATAATGAGGAAGCTGCAGCCTCAGAACCTACATCCTCCTTTTTTTACAGAGAATCTAGAACTAACTCTTACTCTACTCCAAGCGGGTGAGAGTACATACGTGCAGCGATTGAGCATATCTACTGTTCTTGAGTGAGATGTTTTCCACATTGCTTCATAGTCTATGGAAGTAATGTGTTTCCTTTTGTCTTCCTCACTGTACCTTGTGAGGATATTGTCCCATCTGTATGTCCCTTAGATCTTAATTTCCTTACTCCTAAAACCTAGTAAAAAGCACTGAGAATAAAATAACTTGAAAACCACTTACCACATGAGACATGCCTGACTTAGGATACCTTCCTTCACAGAACTGAGAGTCTACAAAAGTCACCACAGCTGAAGGTTTAGTTGTGCCTTGATAATAACTTGTATATGGCTTCACATTTGTATGTGTGCTTACTTTCACTGAAAAGGAAAATTTGCTTTCTCCCTTGCCCGTGCTCTTAGAGGGAAGCCCATTTTTTTTTAGTTTCTGGCAACTGCATGATGAGATAGAGGCTTCTAGCAAGGTGGTTCTAGCATTCTTGGTTCTTCAGGAATTCTTTTTCCACCTGTAAATCCTGAATCAGATTGAGCATGAATTGGTTAAATCACACTTCATCGTCACACTTCAAGCCTGAGTAAGAAGGATGAAGCTTCGTATCAGAAGACTCTCATGGCAGATCAATGCAACTTGTGTCCAAATTGATGTTTGTCTGAGTTCCCTACTTCTGTACTTTAGATCTCCAGTACCAACCTTCACAAACGTGCCAGTAACACAGCTCTTTTAGTCCTGCTCTCCTTCCCCATTAGAGCTTTTTGTGGTGAGAATTTCTGCTCTCTTGGATATAGAAGTCCATGGGGTTTTTAAGGCTGTTCCATCATAAGTGACAATCAAGACCGTGCCATAAGCCCTCAATGTCTGAAAAATCTTTCCCTCTTTTTGGGCAGCAGGAGTCTCTTCCCAGTTCTAGTAGCATTATTGCATGCATTCTTTGCACCTCTGAATCATGAAAACCATTGTGATCTTAGTGCTGGATGGTTGCAGAGGGTTTTGAAGGGGTGTCAGTGGGTTTTTTTTGTTTGGGAGGGTTGCCACTCTAGTCTTGAGGTTCATGCCATTAATCTGATGTAATTAATCTGATGGACAGTTGTTAGATTCCTGACCCTTTTCAATACCACTGCTAATCCAGTCTGTCTGGGAGTTGCTACTAGAAGAGAGAGGATTGAATCTGATGACTGCAAAGATCACTGCCTTCCTCCTGTGCCACCTGTACAGAAAAATGCAGGGATAGAGGCTCCTGTGTTTTTCACAGGGTATCATTCTTCTGTAGGGATCTCATCTGCTTTCCTTCCAAAAACTGGTGGATTCAGTACTAACAATCAGATGGCATTTCTTTAAAAGCCCCTTAGCCTCAAAATTTCTCATCAAGAACAGTTGGCACTAGTTCAAACAAACTTTGGGTTCCACCACTTGGCATTCACCAAGATGGTTCTGCCATTTGTAAGGCTATTAACCTGGTCAAATCCAGTAGCATTCTGCTGCTTTAGTTTCTCAGTAGCTGTAAGACTGGATAAGAAACAACCAGGTTTTAGATGGGGGATCTAAACTAATGTTCTTCCAACCACTCCAGCATTAGTGGCAAAAGCAATTTTGGAAGGCTTCAGTGATGTAAAACTGGCAGTGTAGTCAACAGTGAGAAACTTTTTTGCTAATTACTTTTTGTAAGATCCTTTGTAGCTTAATCTTCCTTGGAATTAGACATAGGCTGGCTGAACCTCAGCTAAATCCCGTATGTCTGTAAGCAGTACCAGATGTGGCTAATACTGTGTTTGAGAGATGCAGAAGGACAAATTCTTAGTTATCTGTATGGCTTCAAAGCTTTGGATATTCTAGAGGGAGCATTATTTTTCCATTATAAGGAACCTTGAATTTTCACTTACATCATCCCCAGAAAAAAATTCCAAATGTTGTTTTATTTTTCAGACAGAGGTTAATCATTGACCTTCTAGCTTAACTTGGAACTGTGTAAAATTTGTGCAATGTTTTGGCTCCATCTCCTGAGTATCATCTTCAGCTGATAGGATGCAATCTCAGTGATGTTTTATATTAACAAGCAAAGCAAGCTCCCCACATCGTTGCTCAGAAGTTTTGATCCAACTGGTGCATCTGGTGTTTCTGTCAATATAGTGTTTCCTCCTATCACCATAATAAACCAGTAGCCAGTTTAAACAATTTGTCCCGTATTTCACATTTTTGTACTGTCTGGGTCCACTTGAAATACCATACAAATCTGGTCACTTTGATGTGCACCAGAAAGGTTTCTTGAGCAACATCCTCAGTACCATTTGGTGACAGAAATTCATGTGCTAAACAGGACAAAACTCCAATGTGGAATGGAAATAAGCTTGGAAAGATAAAAAAATGTTCCAAATAATAAAGTTAAGTACAACAGAGACAATGCAGTCCAGCCACTAAGTAGACAAAATCCATATTTTTGCTTTTCCCCAGGTATAAGTTACTGTTTCTTAGTAGCTGAAAGAATTTATGTGTTAGATTAAGCAACTTCTTTGATATATTTAATTTTTCATATAGGAAATAAAATGTATGCCTGCCTATTTGGGATAGAGACATAAAAACGTGCAAAAACCTTTCCTGTGCTGCACTCAGTAGCTTGGTCTAGACAATGCTGTGCTCCTTCAATATGTTATTAGATGCATGCAAAATTCCCATTGCGAAAAACCTTCATTGAGTTTTCACTCGTTACAAGGTGTGCTCTTGGAAAGATTATTTTTGTTAGATATGGATAGTTTCTTGTAACTAGAACAGAATATCGTTGTTTGGAAGACTTAGCACAGTTTTATTTCAAAGCATTGATAGTTTTGAGTTTCTTAACTGGCATCGGGCACAGACACAAGAAGCTGGAAGTAGAAGCTTGATAGTTTTACGATGTTTTATAAAGAGCAGTTGGGGGGGGATCATTTTGGAGGAGTTGTTAATATGTTAATAAACATTTTTTATTCTTTATATGAAGTATCCAAAATATCTGTGAGTCAGTATTGTTATTAAATTATTTAGTTCTGTTAGATCCCTATAATTAATATCCTTAGGTATGCAGGGGGATAGGCAAATGGCAAAGCAGAAGTGGAGAGTTTAATATCTCATAACTCCTACAAGAATCTGGAGTACAGTATGCTGCATGAGGAGGTGAAGAATGTGTGAAGTCAGTCAGATCATGCAGTTTTTCACCACAACACACCACAGCACATGATGTAGCAAATGCTTATGAACAAACTGGGCTGAAACTCCCAGCTGTGGACATGGCCAGCTTCCAGTTTTCACTGCAGACCTGAGTGGAGGCTCCAGCGAGGCCTATGGGCTGTGCTCAGTTCACTCAAGAGTTCTCATGGATGTTGGTGAGATTACATGAGGAGAAATAGTAAAATTACATCTCCCTGGTGTAGTAATCAGACTTTTAATTACCAAAATCTTAATGTCACACTCCGCAGCTTAGTAAAATATGGCCACGTTAAGAGCAATTACTAGTTCCCATTTTTGTCCTTTCACATTCCCCAGATATATTTTGCATCTTTGCGGGTTTTTTGGGCAAATTTTCAGTTGTAACCCCTTCTGCATAACTCTTTTCTAAAATGACTAGTATGATGTGTAGTATAAAAAATTAATGCTGACATCATTGGCTTCAGAGCTTCTGTGCCATTGCGTGTGATGGGACTGGAGAAAATGGTGCCACTTTTTGACCATCTGCAGACGGAGGACCAGGACAGAAACAAAGGAGCGAGGGAAAAACAGCTCAGTTGCCACTTGCGGCAACTGTATTGTGATGCTTCAAATTCTCCTTCTGTTAGGGCACAAGAGGTGGTCAGAATACCAACTTCTCCAGATGTTTGGTATAAAAGAAGATTTCCATTTGGAAAGGTCTGTGCCTCTCTTGCTGAGCCAGTGGGATGTATCCCGAGAACTGATGGGGAATGGTGAGACCACATAAAGCCTCGGAATGTTGCGGTGATACTCATAAGCAACAAGTGTTGAGGCCTGTAACTGAACAGTCGGAATTCGCTCCTCCGCTCGGGGAGCGGGTTGCTCTGGCTGTTTGAAAACGGGTGCCCTATGCAATGGCCCCGGTATCTGGCCGTGTCACCTGCCAATTACCTCTCCCAGTTCATTTTATTCCTCACTTAAAAGAAATCCTGGGTGAAACAAACAGCACACTTTTCTGTTGAATCAATTAAATTTATTTTTCCATCTACATAATTATGCAACCAATTTGCTTAACAAAACTGATGGCTCCTATCGGGAGGCAAAAAACATTCTGCACGTTACGGAAATTACGCAAATCCCCCAAGAGCTGCGAGAGCGTTAACTTGATTTGAAGCTTCACTGACCTACAGACAGTTTCTAACCCTCGTCAGTCCTCTTTTTAACCTTTTCTGCCGGGAAATGGAATAGATTGTAAGCAAGTAACTCCGATCCCTAACAGTTAATCTCTGTTCGTCCTGAAACTCGTCAGCAACAGACATTTTTGCTCCCAGGTTGTCTGTCTCATCAGCTGCCTCTTGACACCAACCACCGTGGAAGAAAAACAGATGTGTAAACGTACGTATACATCGATCGTTAGTAACTGCGGGAAAAGCTGCTGCAGAGCTCAGGGTCGGTTCTTTGCCCATTTGGCTTCTTCCTTCTGCAGAGCAAAGGAGATGCGAAGGGCAGGGGGGCACCTGGCTGAGC